TTCTTCAGAAAGGTAAAGCTGTGAGAATTTTGTTCTCATCAGTGCCAAGTCACAGGGAAAATTCTCTCCTGCCAGGAATACACTCAATAGTAAATGCACCATACATTTTTCTTTTCTTTTTTCTGAGAAATGTGACTTAATCAGAATTCCTGTGTGTACAGAGCACACATTTGCAGCAGTGCTCCAAATAGCTAGAATGCTCGTCTGTAGAGTCGTAGGTTTGTGATTCTCATCACTGAATCATTATTTAAATGTCTTGTTTAATACTGACATCAGTGAGTTGCTACAACACTCATGATTAACCACTATAGTAAGAAAATCAACAACCTGGCTCATTGATACTATCAAGTCAAAGGACGTTTAGAATGAGTCTCTGTACAAGAGAACTTGACATGCCACGAAATACCATAGCTTCTAGACGAAAGGATCTTGATAGTGGTTTTCCCGAATATGACAATAATCCTAAAAATTTATGTGACATTACCAATATCGAGTTATGAAGCTGAATTTTTTTCTAAACCATCAATAATAAAAAACAAATTTTGATTAGCCATGCTGGGGGAAAGACTGAGTTACTTTTCTGTGCTCTCTATAGGAGATAATGCCACAAAACCTTTGATGTAAGAGGAAGCAATCAAAAAATACACACACACACACACACACACACACACACACACACACACATACAAAACCTAAAATACTTTTCCTAAAAGTATTCTAGGGGTGTATCGAGCAATTAATTAATAAATGTATGTTATTTTTCTGGGTTTTGTGATTGTGGTGTTTATCAGCATAAAATTTTTTCAAAATTTTAGTGTGAATGATTTTCTCATTTTAAATAAACATACAGTTTTGTATCTAATTTGTAATCATAAATTTATAAATTTGCCTTCTTAAAGGGTCATGGCTCCTCAAGTTATACCAGTCTTAGGATCATGTCATGGAACCTGGTTCACCCCTTGGTTTGAGCCCTTCACTTTGAGTGTCTTGAGTAGCCTTTGTCTTTCCTTTTTTTAATGCTTATTTAGTTATTTTGAGAGGGTGAGAGATAGAGCATGAGCACCAGCAGGGTAGGGGCAGAGAGAGAGAGAAAGAAAGAGAGAGAGAGAGGGAAAGAGAGAATCCTAAGCAGACTCTGGGCCGTCAGTGTGGAGCCCTACATGGGGCTTGATCCCACAAACTGTGAGATCATGACCTGAGCTGAAATTAAGAGTCCGATGCTTAACCGACTGAGCCACCCAGGAGGCCCAGGCCTTTGTCTTTCTTGTATCTCCTAGCTTGCCTTCTCCCCTGGCCCACATACTTGTTCAGATTGCTCCCAACCCAAGGACACTTGTGTCTCTGTGGTTAGTCTTTCAGTGGCACTTCTGCCTCTTTCCTCTTGCTGCCAAGGAGATGGTTGATGACTCTGCTCTTGTATCCTCGATGCTGCTGCCACCATCTTTGCAGGGTCACCAACATCTCCTTACTGACTGCAGTATTCTGGGCAGCTTGATCAGGTTCAGTGGCTTGATCAGCATGCAGTGGCTCCCCCCGGTCCTAGCAAGTGGTTCTGGAGTGTGCTTAGATCTCTTACATATACCTCAAGTAGTCTATGTTGAGCATCATTTCCCCAAATGGTCCTAGTACGCAGGAGGTCCTAGTACTCCTGGTCCTAGTACGCAGGAGGGCCAGAGAAGGGTAGTGAGTAGGCATTGAATGCCAACTACGTTCTAGTCCCTCTGTTGGGTATTTTTATACATTTCATTTATTATTATATACCTTTACTTAATCCTTACAGCAACCCGGAATTATAGATTATATCAATTGCACTCTTATAACCAATCAGAATCCACTCAGTTGGGAAATAGATGTTTTAGGAACTTGCTCAAGATTTCACTATTAACTGGCACTAAAGCTATATTTAGTCAAGGCTTGTCTGTTTCTATTTCAAGTCCACACTGTCTACTAAACTCTTCTGTTTCTGGGTTACTGTGGAGCAGGGGGACACAATTATTTCTCATATAGAACTGAACTGAGAGGGTCTTCCTCTTGAAGTTCTGTCTTCCATGGACTGTGGCGATACTCCACTGTCCCGATTCTTCTCTGTCTCCTTTCCTGCTGCCCTCCCCAGCGTCTTACCCTTGAGTTCTGTCCTCACTCATCTTCTCTCTGCTCTCTCTCTTGCCCATGTCATCTGGTCATGCAGCTGCAACAGTCACTTCTCGAGGACGACATCACATATAAAATTGTTAGTTCGTTGTCTAGTCCCAGCCACGGTCTTGTTTCTACTAGATTGCACCAGAAGAGGGTTCTGCTAGGATTTCTATCTCAGTTAACCATCATCTTCTTCTTTCCTTTCCAAACCATCTTCTCTTGAGTTCCCTTCTTCCTACTCACGTAAATTTTCACCCAGGGGAAGGCTGTCATCTTTGTCTTTTTCCTGTCCCTCACTCCTTTTAGTCTGTCCAACAAACATTATTATGTATTTCCTATGTACCCGTCACCGCACTAGGTGCTAGAAATTCACTGGAAATTCACTTGTTCAAGATAGACAGAGCCCCTACCTCAGGGAGCATATGCCGTAGTCTTAATTTGTTGATTCCAGCTTTCCTGTGTCTCAACCTTTGCCTTGTCATTGCCATTTTCCTGCTTCAGGTCCTGGCTGGTCCAGCCCTGGACTATGGCCATTGCCTCTAGCCTGTTCTTACTGACTCTGGTCCCCATGCAGCCCCTACTCCCCCTGCTCTTTAAGGAATCCATAACAAATAATAACTTCATCCTCTGTGCTGAGAAGGGCTGAGCACATTTGTCTCTTTTATGGTTCCTTGGGAAATCTCTAGCCCCTGGATGAGACCCGGAACTCCTTCTGGCTTTGTCAGTAGACATCCACTAGCCACTTCTGTGGATTATTTCTTCATCCATCTCATGGGGAGTCTGGTGAGCTTCAGTGCTCAAGGGTTACACTGGCCCTGTGCACTGGCTCATTCGAAAGGATCCTGAATAAATATCTTCCTCCAACCATCTCTCTCTAGCAGAATTCTCCCTATCCTTTGAGGCCTTGTTCAAGTGCCTGGCCCATTGTGAAGTCTTTCCAGATGAACTTCATGCCCAACCGAATGCCATTTTCCACTTACAGAGCTTTCTCTTGGTGCCCCCTTTGGGGGGTGGGGCATGTACCGTGCTTTGCCTCGCAATGTACAATTATGTCTTCCACAAGCTGGCAAACTTCTTGAGGGCAGGGGCTGCACTCTGCTTATTTTTAACCTTCTGGCTACCTAGCACAGTGCCTTGCTCGTAACAGCTGTTAAATAGATGTTGGCTGAATTAAATGTATTTTCAGTTGCTCTCCCTGTCTTTCCATTTTCCATCCTTGCCTCTACTCGCTGCTCCTTTTTCTTTCTTTTTTTTTTTTCTCTCTTTTTAAAAGTTTATTTATTTATTTTGAGAGAGAGAGACAGGGAGGGAAAGAGGGAGAGAGAATCCCAAGCAGCGTCAAGAGAATCCACTGCACTGTCAGTGCAGAGCCCAGTGTGGGGCTCGATCCCATGAACTGTGAAGCCAGGACCTGAGCTGAAATCAAGAGTCGGATGCTTAACCAACTGAGCCACCCAGGCGCCCCTCTTTTTCTTTTTAAAGTAAACTCTGCGTCCAATGTAGGGCTTGAACTCATGACCACAAGATCAAGAGCCGCCCACTCTATTGACTGAGCCAGGCAGGTGCTCCAGCATCCTTCTTCTTGCTTTTGCCCTGGTGCCATTCTGCCTGTTTCTTCTCACATTCCCAGAACACTGGCTCTAAGAGAAATTTTGATTCCAAGTCCAGTGTTTCCTATACTAGACTGATCATCGGAAATACCTGCTAGCTTTAAAACACCATTTTTATTTAAAAATTATATTGGGTATATCATATGAACAGTAAAGGGTACAAAGCTTAAGTGTGCAGCTGGATAAATTTTCGTACCCTTGTAGCTACCACTCATATCAGAATATGGAGCATCTCAAATATTCAGAATACATTTTCATGGATGCTCCAAGTTGAGATATATATATATATATATATATATGTATATATATATATATAAAGTCTTTTGTGTCTGCTTCCTTTATTTCCAAATTTTGTCTGTGAGATTCATGCATGCTGTTGTGTATATCTGTAGTTTATTCTTTTTATTGTGGGATAGTATTCCATGGTACAAGTCTAGCACCATATATTTATCCATGCTACTGTATCGGTGGACATTGGGATCATTTCCAGTTTTTGACTCTTACGAATAAAACTGCTATGAACATTCTTATACATTTTTGTGGTGGACATATGCTATATTATTCAGAGTTCTCTGGAGAAACAGAGCCAGTAGTGTGTGTGTGTGTGTGTGTGTGTGTGTGTGTGTAGAGAAGGAGAGACTTATTATAAGGAATCGACTCACATGAGAAGTCCCAGGATCTGTGTTTTGCAAGCTGGAGACCCAGGAGAACCGAACCAATGGTGAGTTCAGAGACCGGAGGACTGAGAACCAGGAGAGCTGAATGCTGGTGGGCTCAAGACCCAGAAAGAACTGATGTTTCAGTTTGCATCCAGACGCCCCAAAGAATCGATGCCCTCTGGTTCAGTGCAGTCAGACAGGAGGGGTTCCTTGTTACTCAGCCTTTTTATTCTAGTCAGGTCTTCAGTTGATTGGCTGAGCCTCACCCATATCAGGGGAGGCAATCTGCTTTACTCAGCCTACTGATTCAAAAGTTAATCTGAGCCAGAAACACCCTCACAGACACACCCAGAAAAATATTTGACCAAATGTTTGGGCATCCCTTGGCCCGGTGAAGTTGACACCTAAAATAAGCCACTACATATGCACTCATTTTTGTGGGGGTGTACATATTCATAGAATCAGAATATGTTTAGCTTTAAGAGACAGTTTTCCGCTGTGATGGTACCAATTTACACTGTACCAATTTTTTTTTTTTCCAGTAACAACTTCCCACGAGCAAGCTGTTAGTGTTCTACTTCCTCTACAATCTTACCAGCACTTGGTATGGTCAGACTTTTTCATTTTAGCCTTCACGGCAGTTGTGTAGTGGTCTCAGTGATGTGCTGGAACCAGCCTGTGTGGCTTGTAAACGTCCATTGTCTACATCGCTTCCTCATTATGCGATCAGCGAAGTCACTTTGGCGGCTTAACGTCAGCCCTCATGGGAGTATTGACGCCAAAGAAAAGCTTTAATTCCTGGAAAGTTGCTTGTTGAATACCAGAGTGCTACTGGTGATCGTATGTCGCTGTGGTTTTAATTTACCTTTCCCTGATGAGTTATGAGTCAAGCTTTTCATATGTATATGGTCGTTCATTTATCTTCATTGGTGAAGTGTCTGTGTCTTTTTTTACCTAAAAAAAAAAAATCGGTTGTTGATTTTTAATTGTTCTTGTTGATTTGTAGGACTGTCTTCATATATGCTGGTCCTAGATCTTTGTAGAATATATATATTGAAAATATCTTCTCCCAGTCTGTTGGTTGACTTTTCATTCTCTTTTAATGAATGGACATTTATAGTTTAAAGGACGGTGTATCAGCTTCTCTTTCATGGATAAGTGTTTTTTATGTTCTCTGTAAGAAATCCTTACCCCAGTCACTTTTAAAAAATACAGTTTGGGGTTCAGTGAATTAGTTTTTTGAGCATGGGATGCAAGGATCTGTATATTTTAAAGCTCCCTTAAGTGCACATGGCTTTTAAACACATTAAGTTTTCTAACCTTATTTGCAATGAGTGAAATGCGAGGTATAACCACACCGTAATGCCATTTTTCTCATCTATCACATTAATGTAAATCAAAAAGTTGTATAACACACAGTGTTCGCCTAAGATGGGAGGCACTCTCATGCATTGTCGGCATCTGTGTAAATAAGAACAGCGTTTATAAAGAGCAGTTTAGCAATATCCATTGGAATCAAATGAATGCACATGCCCTTTGGTCTGCCTGGTGATTCTGCTTCTAGGAACATACCTTACTGGTACTCAGAAATGTGTACAAAGAAATAGGTTACTTGGATATTTGGTACAGTGTTATTTGTAATAGGAAAAGACGGGAAATGACCTAAATATCCATCAAGAGCCATGCAATGGAATACTAACCAGTCAGTAAAAAGGAGATAGTTCTATACGTACAAAAGTAAGTGGAGTGACTTACAAGCTATATAGTTAAATGTAAAAAGGACGTTGTAGAACAATGTGTTTAATTTCTTACCGAGTGTTTGAAAATGGATAGTTTATAAGCATATGTATGTATAGGTGTGTGCCCATACCTATACATGCTAGTGTATTCAAATATATTTATTGAAGGAAACAAGAAATTCAGCTACAAAAATAAAAATTAAAACTCCTCTTCAAACATTAAAAAAAAAATTCAGCCACAGTGGCAGGCACTGTGGGTGTTGAATCCAATATATACCTCTTCTGTGTATTGGCCTTTATAGACCGTGGGCATGTGTTACTTTTATATTTTTAGAGGCCCCTCCCCCCTTCCCTGATCCCGGCGATTTGGATGATCATCATATCTCTCATGTAAGGAGACTGGGCCCAGGGAGTTTGGGTCCAAGCACGGATTGCTCAGAACTGCTTCCTGAGAGTCAGTCATGCCCCCACCCTCACTTCCCTCTCTTCCCACACAGCTTGGCCTCTGGCTCACAGAACCAGTCTGTCCTGCACCATTTCTGTCTTCTGCCCAGGACCCTACAGCAAGCCACGAGCCAGACGCCCCCTCTGAGGGTCTGGGTGGGAGGGAGAAGCAGCCCCACGTGCTGGCCACCCGTCCCTCCCGCTCTCCCCAAGGGTGATCTATGGCTTGTCAGAGGTGTGGGTTCTCGCCACTTGCTGAATAGAAAGCTTCTTTGTTCTTGGGAGTGAAAATAACCCTAAGATAAATGTTGGGGCTGGAAGAGCCCAGGGAATGTTAGGCTCCAGCTGCCCTAAGGCTCCTCCCTGGAGCAGAAGGTCTGAGGTTAGGGGAGACAGAAGTTGGTTCCGGAGGGAGTATCATGGCCAGGGTCTTCTGGGGATTGTGAGCAGTGGTGAAAGGTGGCCATGGGCTCTTCTCAGATTCAACCCAGCTCCCAATACCTGCCTGAAAATTACTGCCATCGTGGGTAACCTCCTAACAACCCACAAAAACTTCCTACCCCTTGTCACTTGTTGATTATGACATGACCAATCTCCCCATAACTCTCTTATTCCTCCTCACCCGAAGGCTGTCCCCTGTGCCTGTACAAAAACTCCCCTTTATCTTCATAAACCTGTTTGTTTTCCCATCCCCTTGCCTTTCTACTTGCCCCTCCACAGAACTGGATGTTCTCTGGAGCCTGCATTTCGTTTCTCTGGCTGTTGCTGAGAAAAGGAGGGACCCAGCTCTGCACCTGGCCACTGCAAACCCCATAAAGTTCATGGTATGACTCTTCCATGGACCATAACCTCCTCCCATCCCTAATCTGGCCCAGGCAGGACTGAGTTGGAGGATGCTGGATCTGCCAGGAGAGGAGAAAGGGGAGGGGAAGATTGTTTCAGGCTGTTAATAGTCTCGAAAGAAAGCCCGAAGACAAGATTGGAGTCTGTTTATTTTTCAGTCCCATTCCTAAGGTTCTAGAGAAAATATTTTTAACTTGGAACCTTGAGAGGTGGCCTAAGACCTTTCAAGCACCCCAGAGGGACAAGGGTGAGAATAGCATCAGAGTCCTCCAGGAAAGTCAAGGGCTGTGGTCCCCCTACCGAAACCCCAGTCCTGGCTCAGAAAAGTGGAATCTGGGCCGGGGTGGGGGCGGGGTGAGGGGGCTCCGAAGTTGCAGCCACAGAAAGGACTTTAGAGAACAACCTACAGCCCAGTTCCTCCCTTTTGATAAGCCTGGTTTGTCTGGCTGATGCCTGAGGGGAAGGAGTGGGAGGGGCCAAGCAGTGGGAGGGGCCAGGAGGAGAAAGAGGATGAAACCCAGGAAGCCAATAGGACACCATCAGTCCAACTCTATCTTCTGGGTGAGAAAATAGAGGCAGAGAGAAGCTTGGGACCACGTCTCCAAGACAGCGACGAAGCAGCCTCTCTCCTGGTGCCTATGCTTTTGTTTGTTCTTGCTGGCACCTTGCTGGGGTCTGATGGAGTGGGTGGCTTTGGGACTGTCTGGACCTTAAGGACAAGCAGCACAAGATGATAAGAGGAACCCTCCCCACAGTGGGGGCTGGCACCCCCGCTCTGGCCCAGTGTGCTACAAGGCCTCCTACACCAGTGCCTCCTGAAGGCAGAAAGTGCCTCCTTGGATCTCTTCTCCCCACCACCCCCAACACTTTATCAGCTTTGTCTCTCTCTGGCTCTGCTTGTCTGAATTAGATAAGTTTTGGATGAATCGTAGCTTGGGGTTTGTGGAAAAGAATGGAAGAGGAAAACAGATGGGGATGGGAATGCCCGTGTATCTAATCGTATAGGTCAGACTCTGGGGTAGGAGCCTATGTTCCTAGTTAGGGCTCATAACAGCTCCTTGGCGTAGATCTTCTTGCTTCGCTTTCACCCAGTCTTCCTGAAGTTCAGTGACTTGCCCAAGGCCACAGGGATCGTAGCAGTGGGTGGGAGACCGTGAGGCCAGCTAGCTGTGTCTGGCTGTGGATGGATGATGCATTGCCATCAGGACAATGCTGCCCTAATGTGTGCTGAATGCTTCCTGGCTCTGTGCATGAAGGCTGGGGTTCAATGAGAACTTCGGGCCTGAGGTCACTTCTGGGAAGGGTGTTAGAGGAGCACCCAGTTCTGGGGATGCAGCCTTAACAAGTCAATCAAAGCGTTCCTAGAAGCATCAGCCAAATTCCCCAGAGACTCTTGAGGGGTGGGCTGCCCCACCCTTGACCTCTGCAGCCTCCTCCCACATGCAATGACCTAGGCCAAGATTTCCCAGCTACTGCTGATGCCCTGGTCTGGCGAAGAGCTGGCTTTATGCTTAGTTGTTTAATAATCTGTGAAGAAATCAATACATTCCCACCTCTTCCCCTGGATTCAACCAGCATGGATTATAATCACATCTGTGCTATTTGCCCATGCTGAGCAGAGGCGTGGAGGTAGGCTGGGAGCTTCAAGTTAAACTTTTCTAGACTAATAAACTGTTTCTCCCATTACAACTTGACTGCCCTCGCCTTTCCTGGCCAGCCCCTCCAGGACTCCCCCTCACCCCCCCAGCTTTCTTTCTTTCACTGACGCTGACATCACACTCACATTTTCCAAAAATTCCCCAAATTACCCATAGTCTTCTTAGCTCCCGCTGTTGTCTGGAATTACACATCCCAGACTGCACCCTGTCAATCCCTCCACCCTCACCCCAGAGCATCAGGACTCGCCAGCAGTGGGGAGTCCTGGGTCCCCTGGCTCAGCCCGGCCTGGCAGTGAAGCAGAATGGGGTCTGACCCAGTGAGGAGCTTTTCCCCTCACCAGGTCCAGTGGGATAAACAGACTACTGGGAGAAGCTGTGTGTGTGTGTGTGTGTGTGTGTGTGTGTATGAGGGAGCTGGCTGGCTGGCTCTGAAAGGCCTTGTTATACAGGAATGGCCTGGGCCTTTCTGAAGCCCCGCTAGATGGGGTTGGAAGGCACACTGTTCAGTGGGAAAAACCTGGGGTTTGGAGTCAGAAGACCCAGCTTCCAGTTCTGATTCTGCTACTCAAGGGTTCTGTGCTCTTGCACTGGCCATGTAGCTTCCTGCCTTGGTGCTCTCCTTTATAAACTGGGGCTCTGTGTATTTTCCAAAAGGGCCATAGCAGTATTTCTAGTGCCACATGCTCTTCCACAACCTTACCACTTTCCATTAAGAGACAGGGTCTGTGTCCTTTTGCCTTGAACCTAGGCAGGTCTCTGGGGCTGCCGCAACAAATAGGATGTCTCAGAAATGACATTGTGTGGCTTCCTAGGCTGGGTCATAAGAGGCATGTGGCTTCCACTGGCTGGCTCTTTCTCTCTCTGTCCGTTTCTCTGTCTCTGTCTGTTTCTCGCACTGGAGCTCAGCTGCCATGCCGTGAGGAAGCACAGGCCACATGGAGAGGGCACTCATCTGTCAATTCCGGCTGAGAGTCCTAGCCAAGGTCTCAGCCAACAGCACAGGCGGACGTGGGAGCGAAAGTGATTCCGACCCTCAGCCTTCAAGCTGCCCCACCCAGGTGGTAGTGAATGAAGTAGCGAGGAAGGGCTTCTCTGCTGAGCCCTGCCCACCTTGCAAATTTGCGAACAAAAGTAACGCTATCGTTTTAAGTCATTCACCGAGTTTGGGGGTGGTTTGTCATACGGCACTGGATGTCTGCATGCAGGATCATAATGTAATGTGAGGCTTAGATGAAGAGATGCACTTGGCAGTGCCTTATGGAGCCCTGTATAAGTGTAGCACACTGTGTGCATCACTGCTGTTCAAGCACTGCCCTGTCTTGGATGTCAGTGTCTATGATGTGGCAAGAGCTGGGTTAGATGCTTCCGCATATCCCCTCCTGTAGTCCTTACAGCCACCTCGCCTCTCCAGACTAGCTCCGGCAGGTCTGAATTGGTCATTGTAATGGCTAAATTAGGCTGGCGTTATTATTTTCACCAATTTGCAAATGGGCAGAGACACAGCTAGTTTAAGTTCAGGAGGAACTGGAATTTGAATCCAGGTCTGGTTAACTGCCAGGTTGGTACTCCTCTTTCCCTAGGAGCTAGAGGTGGGCAGTCCCCTCAAGAAAATGGGGACACTAGGATATCTCAGCAGATCCTGACCTGGGAAAATCCTTCTGTTGGATTTATTTAAATTTTTTTTAATCTTAAAATTAAAAAAAAGTTTTTTAAATGTTTTGTTTGTTTTTGAGAGACAGAGAGAGACAGAGCATGAGTGAGGGAGGGGCAGAGAGAGAGGGAGGCACTGAATCTGAAGCAGGCTCCAGGCTCTGAGCTGTCAGCACAGAGCCTGACACGGGGCTTGAACCCACAAATCGCGAGATCATGACCTGAGCCGAACTCGGAAGCTTAACGACTGAGCTACCCAGGGGCCCCATAATCTTAAAAATTTTTTAAAGTAATCTCTGCACCCAATGTGGGGCTTGAACTCATGACCCTGAGATCAAGAGTCACAGGCTCCACTGACTGAGCCAGCCAGGCGCCCCACTGCTGGCTTCATTTAATTTTACTTGCATTTCAACAAGCAGAGACTGAGCGCCTAAAATGGGACTGTGTGTTAGGTAAGACCTGGATGCACAAGACACAGAACCCCTTATTGGGGAGCTCATAGTCTCTGGGGAAAACAGATACCTTGGGCAGGCTGCTCGCCACCTCTAAGCCTCAGTTATGCCATCTGTGAAATGGGGATAATTAGAGAACCCATCTCAGAGGGTTATTGTGAAAATTATACAGTATATAATTCTACTTAAAGCATCTTGTATGTAGAAAGTGCTCAACAAATATTAACTTTTATTAAGAAAATTTTGCAATATAATGAGATATATGACAAAATATGGGGGTGGGGACATAAAGCCTTATGGCAGGAGAGAGGAATAAGTAAGTTCATCCTGGGGTTGGGGGTGGGAGGTGGTAGTAGAGAGGAGGTGATTTTTGGTCTGGGACTTCAAAGGCAAGTAGGAGGAGCAGATGGTCTATGGAAGGACAGTGTTTAGTGTCAGGGAGACAGAGCGGCCCCAGGTGGCTGGAGGACGGGGTCCTGACGGTGAAGGAGTGAGGGCAGGCTGGGAAGGAGTTTTCTATATTTGGTTGTAGCATATTGTTGGCCAAGCAGGCCCCCAGACTTAGGCAAGAGTCTCCCCGCCCAGGCTTAAAAGGTGAGGCTTTAACGTGCAAATGCCCAGGAGGAGGACCCCAGGCTCCAAGGCACAAAATCTTGGTATGAGAGTTGTGGTTTTGAAGGAGAAAAGAGTTGGGGGAGCACCCAGCCCTGAGGCAGAGGGCTCAGAAGAGGAGGTTGGTGTTTTCAAGAGATACTTTCCCCACTCTGAAAAATCTCAGGGCGGACCCCGCTGAATCTCCACTAAGCCAGATCAAGAGAATCTGCTTTTGCCAACAAACCACCAAGCTCCCTCGCCCAGAAATGTCCCAGAAATGTCATCGCAGATTACTGAACGGCTGCTTGGGGAATTTTGCCCCAGGTGGCCCAAGGCCTGAGGGTCAACAAAGGGCTTCTGAGCTGGTGCATCTGGCCCCAGGGAGAAGTCTCCATTGGAGCCTTGGGCAGGCTCTGGGCTCTGTGTGCCGAGAACAGCTGCTTTGGTTTAAATATTAATAATGCAAAATGAAATGTGTGGGGTGCCCAGCGCACCAGAGCCCAGCCAGTGTGCATTGCATCTAATGTCCTCTGCACTTGGGTTTGGAAAAATGTGGTCAGTGAATTTAATATACTTTTTGGCAAAGGGAAGACGACAGTTAACTTCTCTCCAGAGCCTCGCTAAAGTGGGTTTTCTCCCTGGAAAGTGGAGGAGGGAGAGTGGTTTCTCCCAGTATGCCAGCAGGCCTGCTGCCCGAATTCTGTCATAGCCCCTCTGCTCTGCCCACCTTGACACTCGCAGGGGGCCCCGGGGGCCACAGAGCATCGCACTGAGGGGAATAG